TTTTTGATTGTTGTTCCACAATTTTATATATTTCATTGATAACAAGGAGAACTCTTGTTGGAAACATAGTCCAACATCTGCAACTTCATGATCAAAGTTTTCTTCAAACAAAGGAAATGGAATAGGTGGAGCAGGTGGAACAGGTGGAATAATTTTGAAAGGATCCGAAATAACAGGGTTCAGAGGAGATGGGTGCATTGAACTGACAAGAGTAAGAGGACCGCCATAGAGTTCTCTTAAGGTTTCAGCAACATTGGACTTAAGACCTTGCAGTTTGTTAAAGAGTTCATAGAGCTTTAGCTTCTTCAGAGATCCATTACTCTGAAGACAAGACTTGACGTTACCCCATCCTTTTTCGAGGCTATTGATGAACTTCAGGTTGTATTCAAGTGGAGTTCGTACAACACCATGCACCGTCATGCTGTTTACCACGATTTCATACTGATTTGAAGCCGAGGCTACACATTCTCCAGGAGTTGTAGTGAATGTATTAAAATTATTCACCACTGAGGTCAGACGCTTATCCTTCATGTTTTTTGAACCTTCAAACATATCTTGTAGAGTGTCCCATATCTCCTTGGCTGATTTACACTACTTGATGTGCTCAAAGAAAGATGGTGGAACACCAAACACCATTTCAGAAAAGGCGATTTGATCGGCATGGAGCTTCTCGATGTCGTTGGTTGTTAGAGGCACAAGTCGGAGCTCTTCTTGAACTATAAGCGTAGTTGCAATGTCTCTAACCATCGGCCTAACCGGGACATGAGGACCTTAAGTAACAGATCTTCATATCTCTTCACCCTTTTCTTTTCCAACCAAGAATCTATCCATTCTAACATTCCAATGATCATACTCTTTCACAACCAACAATGGGGCTCTAGAGGGGCGGGCAACCCATGCTGTTTGCGATTTGCATTGAATACATTTGTTGTTGAAATTGATTAGGAGTAGCCATTGTCGTGTGATATCTTTAGAAAAAATGGTATACAGAAGAAATTTTATACAGAAACAGAAATGATCGAAACATCAAGGTAATCTCAACCAACTATAATCTGATTGTATGTATTCAAAGGACAACCACTTTGGCTCTGATACCAATTGTGAACAGGGGATATCCGAATATATCAAAGATAAGGTTTGAGAACTCAAACCTTGATATCAACACAACAATTAAGGCAAATAATCTATTCCATTCAAATATGGATAAACTAGTCAAGCGTTGAAGATATTAAGCAACAAAGTATTCAAGATAATAATAAAGAGTATTAAAGAATGAACATGTATAAGAACAAAGAGAATGATAAATTGATTGACTGAATGATTCTTGATTAATACTTAGAAAGTGTGAAAAGGATTGAGGAATCACATGGAGTGATGGTCCTATTTATGCTATCCTTGGACCAATCACAAAAGAATACACTTGTACTAAAAGTTAACTGCATATCAACCACCTGGCATATCGTTGTGGTTGACCTTGTCTCTTACATAGATTGCATTTAATAAGACAAATACAAACTAACAAAAAGTACTAATCTCAAATCACTCGGTCTTCAGTGAAAGCTCGAAATCTCTAACAGCTCGGAAGTCAACTACTTTGCATCTACAATCATCTCAGAATCTTGATAACTCGGATTGTCTAACAATCACTTGTCTTGAACTAACAATTATAATCAAATTATTATCTGAATATAAGTCTTTCTTTTTTCTCCATTTATGCTCTTGTTGTTCATAGTTGATTAACTTCAAGCTTGTAAGCAAGCTTGGTTAAGATTCAACAAAGTATTTCCTTACTTGATTTATATTTATTTAGTTTTTGTTATTCTTATATCTCCGTATAATCTGTTCTTAAATTCTGCATCTTAATTTATTGTTTAACTACTTAAAGATCCACGGGATTAACTTATTCCGCAACATAATCTTGTCATTAGAAGTTCTTCTCTCAACAACTAAAAAATTGAAACTAAGCGACTTCTTATATCTGAAGACCGAATTATTATAATTTGCTTATCGGATATTTTGTTACATGTTCATAGTATTTATAACAAAATATGAACAAAACTAAAGATCCAATCATTTATTTCTAGCAAGATGGCAGTTGGAGAAGCCTTGTGAAATCTTGACGCTTCATTCATGATCTCCATTCACCTCTCACGATACTTTGGTGCATTACACCAATCAAACACCATTTCCTCTAATATATGTCCATGCTCCAATAACAAACACACTACAAATAATTTCTCATTTTTCCATTAAAGTTGATAAGAGTGTTTAATGAAACATTGATACATAAACCTATTCACATTCATGTTCTTCATGTATGGTGCAAAGTTGAAGGAAAAAAAGAGTGTGCAATGAGCCAATGATACATAAACGTAGCCAAAACAATTGAGAATCACACAGACACAAGCAGGTTAACATAAAAATGTATACATGAAAGTTAACATAAACCTAGCCAAAACAGTTGAGAATCACACATATAAGCATTACTGATTACATATACATACATGTCCACAGATGACATAGAATAATAAGATTATACATACATACATGTCCTGTCCACATATAACATAGAATAATAAGATCCAATATTAGTTCTATAATAATGTCCTATAACTTTCCTTGATAAAAATTCAATTTACAGCAAACTAAATAACAATTACAAAGCAGAAATAGAGATTGAACTCAATTCAAAGAGATGTTAACCTTGAAATCGACTTGAGCCCAACTTTATAAAAATCGATTGTGGAGCAGAGCCTGAATCAGAGCAATAATCCAAATCACAAATTGACTTAGAAAGGGGGAGACATGCCGAAGGATGCGGGGAAATAGGAGGAGACGACGCTAGTGGGTACGATGGCGTTGGATGGGGACGACGAAGGCGTTGGTGAGAGGACGCAATAGTGGTGCAAATATTGGTTTGCCTCTGCAGATGTCGGGGGGGGGGGGGCAAGGAGAAGGAACCCATGAGAAAGAGAAGAGGAAATAAAAGAATAAAAACTTTTCTGTTTCGATCAGCGCTTTTTTTGTGGACTTGGTAAGAGGTATGTGGACCTAGTAAGAGGTTAAATTTATTGTATCAAACGCTCTTATCTAACCGAATAAAAGATAACCTCTCACTAAACAAACCTAGTGAAAAAATAAATCAAACATGCCCTTAATAATTTCACATCAAACCTAAAAAGTGAATCTCTTAGATCCAAATCCAATCAATTAGGTTAAATGAAAGATCACACCTAAGTTTCTAAAATTAGCACCCTTCCACCAACCACTTTTTTATTTATCTTAAGTTGACTTTCTAATACTCTATTCTCTTCCCCTTATTCCCTTACATATCAAAATTTCTCATAAATAAGTCACATCCATTAATTTATTCAACTGTCATTACTTGATTTCTAACCTTAAAGATCTTGACATAGTTGATCATTAAACTAATAATCAATTTTTTTTATTTAGTTATTTTAAATCGACTAACTTTGAAAATTTATAAACACTAATTTTCTTTCATTTAGTTTTTTTCAATTTATTTCTTTTAGAGATTCACATAAGGATCAAACACTAACCACATAATAAGTTTGTACTTTATGAAATGAATTAATAAAAAAATTAATCATCATCAAAGTGAACAGAATGAGATGCATTGTTTACAACCCATTGTTCAAAGAATCCAATATTCATGTCCATGTGCTTAGTTTAGCAGTAAAATGTAATAATCCTTTAAGAATGTATGATGTTCAAACATGAGTATTTCATTCCTTGCTCTAGGAATGTCTGATGTCGACGGTGGTCTTTACTGTTTACCTAAATATTCAATATTGATGAGATACATCATACATATATATGTTTTGGGATATAAAAAAACACAAAAGTAACTTTGTACTTTATAGGATGGTGGATTTGATTTGACAATTTAAAGATATATAATGTTAAAAAGTATGAAGTAAAGAATGGGGCATGGAAAAACAAAAGAAAGAGTTGATTAATGTGTGTGTGTGTGTTATATATTGATGCACCATGAGTGCAAAAGTTGGAAAATCTACTTTAGAATTGATTAGGTGCAAAAGTAGAGTTTGCATGTGCGCCATCATGCACCCTTATGCTTTATTTTGACTTGTGCAAGATTCTTCATTGGACCCTTGTCCTTAATTCCAAAATAAATGGACCTTTTCTTCCATATGTATTATGTATTAATATTCTCAATCTTAAAAAAGTTAAATCCTTTTCAAATAAAGTTCAATATTACTTTGTACATTTCAAAATACCCCTTTTTATCATATCCACCCATCCACCAACCGTCACCACCCTCCACAAAATAAAGATCTTTTTACACGCTTAAAAAAAATATTCAGTATAAGAAATTTTATCTGTCAATACGATCTGAATGGTTGTCTAGTTCCGTTAAAGTTGACGGATAAGGATGCTCAGTGGAGAATATAATTTTTCAGTCAAGTTAGAAGCCGTTATAGTTGGACGACTCTTAAAAAAAGATGCTTAATATGTGTAGATTGTTATGGTCATAGTCGAATGATATTTATATCTATTACTTTTAATTATAACTTTAACTTATGAAAAACAAAATTTCCATTTCCATATAAAAGTTGATATACATATCATATAACTTCATATTTTTATAGAATTTATGGTGGATATATATATATGTAATAAACAATTGTTGCTTAAAATCAAGATCAACCGTTAGGTTAACATATAAAAGTAATTATTATGGTTGTAATTAAATAATGGATAAACAATAAAAATACGCACATAATTTTCAATATTAGTTTACACGTCCTCTATATTCATTCGACACGTAAATAGTAATTATATATTTAAAATAATTTGGCGCACGGGATAATTATTTTACTACGGAACTTTTGACGCCATGGAAGCACAAAAAAAAAAAATAATAATAATAATAAAATAAAATAAAAAAATAAAAGAAAATCACACAACAAACGATTTTTATTTATGAAATTTGAAATGAAAGATCAAAAAAGTAACATTTAGATCCTAATTTTTCTTAAATCTGTGGTTTCAAACACTGGAAGTTCTTGTCCATAAGCACAAGTTCCTACACCACCAGCAATCTCGAGTTCAAACAGATCATCTTCGTCTTCATCGTTATCTTCAACGTTAACCACGAAGTTTTTGTAATTGTTCATGTAATTCTTCTCTGTGAACCATCGTCTCTGATCATACTTTGGGAATGGCATTAACTTTGGATCATGGTGATCGATAGATTTTCTATCGAGAATCACGGTGTCGTTTTCAGGAAAGAATCGAACTGACCTTTTTATGCCGGCATTATTATGCTGTTTTTTGCTTATACATGACCTAGAAAACGAAGAGCAGGTAGTTGTTGTATCTTGTTTAATGGAACGTGATTTCTTCAAGGTCCTGAAATTCTGCATTGTTTCTTCGATTTTGGATTTCTTTGAAGAAGACGAAGAAGAAGAAGAAGAAGCGAAGAGTGAGTAGAGAAATGTCGAAATCCTTTTTCCTGGTGAGATCGGTTGCTTCACCTTTTTCAGATCGCCATAGATCTTCATAGCTCTCAGCTTCGTTAACTTCATGAATTTCCCTTCACGTTTTGTGGAAATCGTCGGTTTTTGAGAATCATCGAGAAAAACTGCCTCCGCTGCTTTGCGAGATATCGTGAAGGAGTTCGGCAACGATCTGTAAGTTGACGGAGTCTCTGGTTCGGACGACGCCGATGAAGTTGTAAACGTCGTCGTACTTGAATCCGAACTGAAATTTCTACAACTCTTCCTGGAAACATAACTACTACGTTTATCATTGTTGTTGTAAGTCTCCATCCATTGATCTATCATCATCGCTCTTCGGAGACTCGGAATCTGTACTTCTTCTCCGTTTATCAAATGCGTTTGCGGAAAACGAATTTTGTTGTTCCGTTTTGGCTCAGAAGCGAAAAATATAAGCTCATGATCATCAACTTGTTGATTTTGCTGCATCTGGTGTAAGTTATCATCGTGTAATCCTCCGACGACGTCGTTTGTTTCGTCGATGGAACGGAGAATGGAGTCGAGGAGAGAAGATGAGAACGACGGAGTTTTCCTCCGATGTGGTGGCGGTTGATACCTGGGACTCCTCTCCGCCATGATCATCTGCTAATTTAACAGGTTTTGCTCCGTTTTTTCTCCGTTTCTTTGATGATTTGACGTAATAAAGTTCGTAAAAACACAAATGAGAAAGAAGATTTGATGAACAAGTGAATCGAAGAAAAGAGAGAAAAAGAGAGAGATGATTGATGCTTTAATGGTGGGTAAAAGAGAGAGAAAAGCCAAATAGCGCGGCTTCGATTTTGGGGTGAGTGATAGAGGGAGGGAAATATATAGTGAAGTCGAGAGTGCAGACAATTACTGACGTGGGGTGGGGGTGATTTCTGGGCAACATAAAAATTCAAAATTGTTGAGACAAAAACTGCTGTCACCATTTAAAGAATCTCCTGTTTTGCTTATTCTTTATTTATTGTTTTCTTTTTTAGAACAAAATTGTACTTCTTCCTTACAAAGTACAGGGAGTAATTCATGCCTCTTAACTCAAAAACTTTGTAAAACTTAATCTATTTTAGGATGGTAACGAAGTTTTAATCTAATTAGAAAAACACAATTCATTTTGTTTTTTTGTGCTTGGTCTGTGTGGAAGTTTCACAATTAGTTGGTGTTTGGTGAAGAAATCCTTTATTTGACAGTATTGTAGATTTATTGTCTCACCGGTTAGTGAATGGAAACTCTAATGCTAAAGGTAAGTGGATCAGCTCGATCCAAAATCCTATTTTAGTTACTTCTTTGTAATTGTTTTTTTTTTTCCTAGTATTTGGCTAGCATTGTTTATATAAAATCTTAGTTGTTAAAACAAAATATCATTACAGTTTATAAAATATTAAATTATATCATTACTACTATCACTTTTTGTAGTAGGTTAAGCTTTTTTTTTTGGGAAAAAAAAATGCTTACAAAGTAGTAGTCGTAGAATAGATAACAAAATTTCAATTTTGTTTAAAAAACATCATTAAAGTTATTAAATTGTTCAAAAATACCATTTTTTTTAACGTTGACCATAGACTTTTTTGCTCACTTAGATCTCTCTCTCATTTGCATGTCGGTTTTAGCCTACACGCTTTTGCTAATCGGCACATCTTAGCCGTCTTTTCGCTCGATACTAGCAAAGAAAACATAAATAACACAATTGTCCTTTTAGTCGAGGGCAATCAACATTAAGGGTGTTGTGACATCCCAAAAGTCAAGGAAAAAATTTTCATTTCTAAAATCCAACCACAAATCATAATTATTTACAAAGTATTGTTTCCAAATGCAATAATCACGGATCAGAGTATCCCAAAATCTAATATCATAAAATAAGAAAGGATGTGCACGATCATGTCTTTAATTTTCCCCTGACCCACAACCTTTCAGTTGGATTGCCTAATACATATTGGGTCCACAACCTCTTAGTTGGATTACCCCTGGCCCAAACCTTCCGGTTGGAATGCATTGGCCCACAACCTTTCAGTTAGATTGCCCGAGTTTGTTGACTGGCAGCACAAAATAGTACAATCTCAACCCAACCACACTATGTCGACATATATAACATATAAAACACATAACAATAACCAGATAATCATGTAGATCTTAACAGGTCACTATAGCATAGCAATATTCCAAACCAAAATACACAATCAAGTGGGCCGACATTGGTGCCTTCGACCCACAAGTACAGTGAGGAAAACTCACCTCACTGTGTGAAGAGATAGCAGAAAAGAACGATGCTCCAACTGTCAACCCTACGGGTCACCTATATAGAAAACAGTGACCTAGACTCAATTAACAGTTCAAAATATCCAAAATATCCCTAGGTCAAAGGTCAAATCGTCAACCGAGTCAACTCTAAGTACGCTCGGCGTACTCAGTTGCGCCCAACGTAGTACGCTTCTCGACCAGATTACGGGGTCTTAACCATATACGCACAACGTACCATCAGGTACGCCCTGGTGTACATATAAAGGGTTAAAATGTAAAATACCTGGAAATCGAGGTGTTACAGGTGTCCATTGATACCCATAGTTCTTGGAAATATTACCACATCTTAGAAAACTTTGACTTTATGTCTTTTCATCTACTGATTCTCTTGAAGGAGTCAATTGTTGATTATTGTCAATCGTTTTTCGACTTTCTTTCGTTGTTTGAGATGGAGGGATTTCATAAGCTGGTGGTGGATACCTGGGAAAATCACTTTAAAAAAAAAGCTTTAGAATCTTAAAAGTTATATGTAATTGGAATTCAAGTAATCAGACTAAGGCTACTAAGTTACGGTCAGAGCAATTAGATCATTTGGTCAATATTGATGTTATGATTGATAGTGGCATGTCAACTTAAAGATGATTTGAAAGTTCAAATTGATTCTTTGAGAGTCATCGGTGAGCTTGATCATATTGAGGCAAAAGATTTAGCTAGGAAAGCCAAGGTTAAGTGGGCTATTAAAGGTAACGAGAACTCGAAGTTCTTTCATGGATGTTAAAAAAGAAGGGAATTTAACTTGCTATAAAGGGCGTTTTACAAAATAGATCTTTGATTGAAGACCCTTCCTTGGTTAAAATTAAATTCTTTGAACATTTTTGGTCTCGGTTTGCCTATATGGCTAGTTCTTTCCTACTCTTGGGATGGATTTCGCTAATTGGTTGTCGCATGAGCATAGTATGTGCCTAGAAGGTCCTTTTTCTTGGGAGAAAATTAAGCGAGCTATTTTTAAAACTTTTTGGTTAACCATTGAACTTGATGTGGTACGTTTTGTACATGAGTTTTTTTTATTCGACCTATATATCGAAAGGTTGTAATTCTTTTCCATTGCCTTGATTCCTAAGGTCAATGACGCGAAATTTGTTACATATTTAAGACCAATTAGTTTGATTAGCTGCCAATAAAAAATTATTGATAAGCTTTTAGCTAATCGGTTAAGCTTGGTTATTATGATTTGTGTTAGTAGGGAGCAATATGCCTTTATTAAAGGTATAAACATTCTTGATGGGCTACTTATGTTGAATGAGGTGATGAATTGGTACTGAAAACGTGAAAAACAACTGCTTGTGTTTAAAGTTGACTTCAAGAAAGCCTATGACTGGTTACATTGGGATTTCCTTAATGTAATAATGGAGAAAATGTGATTTGGTTATAAATTGAGGCGATGGTTTTAAGAAAATTTATCACTAGTCCTAGGAAGGAGTTTAAGTGGTTGGTATGCTATTTGAAAAGAACCTCAAATATAGCCTTATGTTTCTAAAGGCAACAAGTTGTCCCAAAAGGCTTCATTGATGCTGACGTGAGAGGGGGGTTGTGTATATTTTTGGGAAAATCACAACATGTTATCTGTTCACAATTAAGGAACAACCATCAGTTGGATGTCATTATTACAAAAGAGTGTTGTTCTTTCAACCACCAAAGTGGAGTATACGGCTATAGTAGACACTAGCAATGAGCTCATTTGGTTGAATAACTCTCTATTAGAATTAGGCATGAAATAAGAAGATTGTGTCCTACATTGTGATAACCAAAGCACACTTCACCCAACGAAGAATTTGATGTCTCACAGAAGAACCAAACAAATCAAGACGAAGTGCCACTTTATCCAAGAATTGATAAGGAATGATACTATGAATCTGAAAAAGATTCTAGGTACGAAGATTCTAGTAAATATGTTTACCAACGCAGTGGCGATAAAAAAGTTGAAGCTATGTATGGCTTCGACTCGCCTCTTGAAGACTTGAAGCGAAGTCGAGGTTAATATATATATATATATATATATATATATATATATATATATATATATATATAGAGAGAGAGAGAGAGAGAGCGCGAGAGAGAGAGAGATGAGGGTTACATAACTTAGATGAAAATAGTTTGTTAGGCCATCCTCTAAGTGCGAGATTGTTGAGTTGTGAAGTATGATTCTCTCTGACTTCATAGCTGCTAACGAAGTCGCTTGGCGAAGTTGCTTTTGCATACTTTAGCCAAGAGCAAAGTTGCTTGGCGGAGGTTGTTTATAGTTGCTTGTAGTAGAGGTTTTGGAGGGGCAAAGTTGTAGGTTGTGGCCAAGTCTAAAACACAACTGGAGTTAGAAGCGAAGTTTGAAGACTTGGCATTGAAGTGCAACTGCAGAGAGCGAAGTTTATCACATGAGCTTTGCCTACAATGTACATCATGATTCGAATTTCAGTGATCAGAAGCATTCCTAGACAATGACGTGAGGACCAAGTTTTCCATCATGGGCCAACTTATGTCGGTGATGCCGTAGGTCTATAGGATACAGTCGAAAAGAAATCAAATAAAAACATTTACCATAAATACTTAACTAGATCTCCTAGTATAACTGTAACATTAATACAGAAAGTGTGTATTTAAGATTATCAATAGAGTGGATATAGCTAGATTACTTTGATCAAGTGATACATTTTAAATCTTTTTGTGTCTTTATTGTTCTTTGTCATCGTTATTATCGTGTTTGTATTTGTTGAAATCCTTAAATATATTATATTGTTCATTTATATTTGATTTATTAGATAAATAGATATGTTAGAATTAGATTTGGAATAGGATTACATGATTCTTTAATAAATATACATAACACTAATGAAAGGGCAATGAAATCAGTCTAAACACTTTCTCACAATAGATACGTATCTAGAATAATAACGATGATTGAAAGCAATGAGATAATCATAGATACGTAATATTACTCACAACAGAGAGAATGTTAACCAACAAGTTAGTTGAATTCTCTAAAGAAATTCAAAGATCCAATGTAGGAGTGTGGCGTATGTGTTGTGAAAATTGAGGGATCTTATTAATTTATATATAAAATATTCTCTTGTATTCATATGAAACTGTATTAAATGTGATATAACACACTTGAGAAATATGTGGCATGCTGTCGGTCTTCTATCATGCTAGACATGTGTAAGTTCTGGATTTACAGGTGAACTTGGGTCCTTGTTAATTCCCACTACCCTCCATGTTGGTTTGTTTGTGTATCCATACTTGTTTTATTTCGAAGTTATACCATTAAAAAAAAAAGATAAGATACACACTCATGATATACTTGATAA